ACACACACACACAAACAAAACAAAAATAAAAACAAAAAAACTCTCGGTTCGGCATTGAAGATAATAAATATGGATGAAACGCCTGTTAGATTTTTCGACTCTCCTGCAAACAGAATTGTTGATGAAACTGGTGCAAAAACTATTCTGTGCTTATGACGGGGCATAAAAGAACGTCATTTACATGTGTGTTAGCTTGTGCCGCAAACGGTGGCAAGCTAAAGCCGATGATCATTTTTAAACGAAAGACTATTCCGAAGGGAGATTTTCCTAATGACGTAATTATTTAATCATGCACGAGTGGCTACAAAAAGTTTGGCAGTGTCGTTTGGGATCTTTTTTCCAACCAAAAGGGTTATTCGTAATGGATTCCATGCATGCTCATTTCTTTGAGTCAGTGAAAACCAGATGTCAAAAATTGTCTACGACCGAAGCAATAATTCCTGGTGGTTTGACAAAAATCTTACAACCATTATATTTTTCAGGTAATAAATCCTTCAAAGCTGAAGTCTGAAAGCGGTGGGAATGTTGGATGAGTGAAGGATTGCATACGTAAACCAAAAGCGGTAAAATGCGTAGAGCATCTTATGAAGAAATTCCAAAGTGGGCAGGAAGTGCGTGGAAATCGGTAGAAACATCGTCAATAATAGCAGGGTTCAAAGAAGCTGAAATTATATCCTTAGATAAAGAGACTGTAAATCAAGAGGATGAATGTGACGATCTGGAAGACTTAGATCACGATTTACTAAATCTTTTTAATTCAGATAGTGAAGAATCAGATTTTGATGGCTTCATATGATGTATAGTTTGCTGTAATTCGTAAGTAAAATTTAAAATTTCCTTTTGTCATCCAAATTTAATATTTCGTTGTTGCAACATTTTTTATAATATAGTCTGAGTATTACAAATATGGACTTCTTTAGTGGGTAAATATAAGTATATACGTGAAAATAAATATATTTTCCACATTTCTTACCTTTAATTTATTTTTGAGTTATGGTTTCATTTCATGCATTTTTCTTAACTGGTATGTCATATATGAGGACTTAGGTTGAGTTTTTGCATCTATACGGCCCACGATGATGTCACGGGCAATTTAAATCTATTGCGGCGTTTCTGTGCAATTTAAATTTTTTTTCCCGCTATTTTTCTTGAGTGTGGCGTTTACGCTGATGCGGCCTTTCTTCCGGAAATTACGGTAGTTTTTTATATTCATTAACAAAAAATAAATACTTAATGAAAATGGATGACCACATTCACTTCACTGAAACTATGGACCGCTAGTTCAGAAAATCTACTTTTGATAAAAGGTTTAATAAAATAATCATAAACAGTACACAATAATGAAAACAGACTGTCCATAGTCATGCATAAACTTTTTTCATATCTGTGCATAAAATGACATTTTCCATAAGCTGAGGTGTCAATTCTGATATTTTGTTAACAGAACCCTACATTTTATAAATAGAGAAGCTTTTATTTATGTATAAAAAAGAACAGTTTTTATAATAAAACAAATGGTGAATCTTCGGATTATGGTAACTTGGCGATTTTTTGGAGACCAACCCTGCTACAGCAACCTGCTAGTTTTTTTTTTTTTTTTTTTTTTTGGACGTCCTTTTGTTTTCACGAAGTAAAGGCATGTTTTTTTTTCTTCTTTTTTTTTTTACTCAACATTTTTTCCAACACTCTGCTAGCCAAATTACGCTTATGCTAGAACTTTTATGGAACAAAGTGCTTAATCATGACGAAGATTAGGTGCGAAATTGGGAGAAAGTGCAGAATCGCCCACTGCTTGCTGCATTTTTAAGAATTGCACATACACGGTATCCATGTACACGCCAACCTATTTTCACTTAAAAAAAAAAAAAGGGTTGATCTTTGGGTTATGATAACTTGGCGATTTTTTGGCGACTAACTCTGCTACAGCAACCCCCTATTTTTTTTTTCGCCGCCATTTTGTCTTCACAAGTAAAGACATGTTTCTTTTCTTTTTATTTACTCAACACTTTTTCCAACAATCTGCTAGCCGAATTACACTTATGCTAGAAATTTTATGGAACAAAACTGCTTAATCATGACAAATATTAACTGTAAAAAATTTGGAAAAAGTGGCAGAATCGCAAACCCTTGCAGCGTTTTCAAAATCGTACATACACAGTAAACCATGTACACGTCGACTTATTTTTTACTTAAAAAAAATCCCAGAATTGCACAAAAATGGCATTGCGCACACTCTTGACTTTATCCATCTACACTGCTTTTCTCATAAATTACAAAATTTGCACGAAAAGCCAAAAAAATTCTGTGAATCTTTAAACTCGGTAAAAAGCACATATATGAATTACCTGATATCGAAAAAGTATATACCCTTTCCAAGGATGAACATTTCCACGTATAATATAATAAAATATCCAAAACGTTTACCTAAATTATCTATTATAAAACGTCACAACGAATTTAACGCAAACAATAAAAATGGTTACAAAACTTAGTGTCAAATATTAAATTTCCATGCACGTTTATTCCACTGCAACATATACCAAATTTACAAACAATTAATCACAAATAACGATCATTTAATAAAATATAATAAATAAAAAAACAAACTTAAAATATAAATAAGCACATAACATTAAAAATAAAAATTAAGCTTAACAATCTTAATTACTTTAAACTAAATTCATTGCTAATAAACATTTTCCAATAATACCATATTAATTTCATTTATCCTTACATTAGAACAATGCTTAAAATAATATCCTCAAATTATTAAAAATACTAACTTACCAAATCTTCTACAGAATCTTGAGTGCATGGTGGATCACAAAATGTCCATTTTCACTAAGATTTCTTACACCGTCATTCAAACTTATCTGTAATATCCTTCCTTTCACACAATCTCTCTTTTATCTCATTTCATTACCCACATGTTAAAAACATTCATACTTATCCACAATTAAGCAATTCTTTTTCAATTGCACATAAAAGCAATAAAAACTTCGGATTTACTTTATATAGGGCCATGGGATCCAAATATTAAACAACCACTGTTTCACAGAACATAGAATGAAACTAATGCTGTACAGCAGATATTTTTACAAATTTACCCCTTTTCCAATTAAAGAACAGTGATTCGTCCATTAATGTCATGACTCTCATAATCTATCATTTCCCTCACACAAAATAATGCGTAATCGGAACTGAGTACTTCTCACATATTCCCAAAGTCCTAGGTAGTAACCTTTATCGCCTCTAAAATGTCGCCAAACTACCTGTTACCATATTGCAAAGATCATCCTATTTTTTACCATGTAGCTAGTATTAGCTGTTTAGTGTTGTTTATGTTGGTAGTAAATAATTATTATTTTTCATTGTCAGCTCCCAAATCATGGGATGAAGGCACCTTTTTGCATATAATGCAGATGGTGAGAGTCAAGAGTCTGTGCGTAATATCATCACATTTTCGGTGACAACGCAGGCATCCCACATATCTCATTTCTTCCCACATATTGGACATTCATATTTATCCGCAATTAGCAATTTTTTCAATACACATAAACGTAATAAAAATTTCGGATTTACTTTATATACGGCCATGGGATCCAATATTAACACACTGTTTCACAGAACAAATGAAACTACTGCTATAAAGTACACAGCCAGATATTTTTTACAAATATACCCCCTTTTTCCGATTAAAGAACAGTGATTCGTTCGGAACTGAGTAGTTCTCACATTATTCCCAAAGTCCTAGGTAGTAATCTTTATCGCCTCCAAAATGTCGCCAAACTACCTGTTACCAATTCCAAATCTCAGCCAAAAAACATGTCAAATTGCACACAAATGGCAGGGCGCACACTCTTGACTATCCATGTACACATGACCTATTTTCTCTTAAAATGTCAAAGAAAATGACAAAAGCCAACTCTTCCTACTCTTGTAAAAAGGGCCAAACAAATAAGTGGGCGATTCTGCACTTTAGCAGCGAAATTGTTTCTAAGTGCTTATTAGCTAAAATCATGATTTCAATTTTCCGGAAAATGTTACATTACATGTCTCATGATCTCTCATTTCTCCAAGATGAAATAAACTGTGATTCAAACTGTGTACTTCTCAGATTTTTGCTAAAGTCCTAGCTAGTAACCTTCATTGCCTTACCAAAATGTCGCCAAACTACCTGTTACCATATTTCAAAGATTAGACAAACAAATTAACTTAAATTATAAAATCCATCCTTAAATCCAGATGTATACTGATTAGGAAAAACTCTGCACTTTTATGTTGATGGACTAAAAGAAGAAAAAAAAAAAAAAAAAACTATAAATGTATACCGTACATTACGTAGATCTGTAATATCTTTATCCTTTTATATCTCAGGAAAGTAACTTACATTCTAATCAATTTTACTCCTATAAAAAATTCGCTTAATATTTTGGTGACAGTAACTTGGAGTAAAACTTAATATAAGAAACATTTCTCCTCTTAGGCAGGTAGACCTCATGTGCTTTGTCCTTATTCAATAATCTAAAGCAAGCTAGAAGGCATTACATACCAAGAAGGAAGTATTTATTATGCATCTGAAAATCTCGGTTACAGTAGTTTATAAGAAACACTAAACAAAAATTATAAAAGGCCAATTTAATGAATTTCTTTCAATAGTCAATATATCTAATGCGCTGTTCTGTAATATTTTATAGTTTGCAAATTCAAAATTGCCATTTCCGCTTATCTACCAAACGAGATCGCCACCAGAAGCCAAGGATTAATGATTTTCAGAAGTACTTCAGTTAAAATTATAAGAACTTGGCTTGAATTTCCAGCTCTTCTAAGCATTTTCTGTGTTTCAAAATTTTTTTCTGCTGGATTTCCTACTTGTTTAAATCACTACGGAAAAGTAGATATTCTTTTCATCATATACTTATAAGACGCTTAAAAGCCTGCGCATATTTAGCATGCCTGAAACGAAAAGTATTCATCAAAAAGTTTCACGTAAATCTTACCTAAGTTTTGCGGTAATGAAATAAAGATGAGTAATATTGGTCGCATTAAAAAAATACGCGAAAAATCTGTATGAGTTTTGGTCCTCATCTTGACAACCATTGTGCAGCCTGCAGCAACAAACCATTGCCAACTTCATTTACTTAATATTAAAGTTTCACTTTCTTCCAAAAAAAGATGGCTTAACGGAAATAAAATAAGGAGTTCAGTGATTCTGGGAAGCTGCTAAAATGACCTGATTGAAGCAAGCCCAAGAGAACAAACATTGATAAAGCGTATTGGATTTTTTATGCCCAGTTGTAGTCTTTTAAGTAATAACTAAATAGATGCCCCTTTTTCAGTACAGTTTGCCGTTTTTTCAGAAAATTGTCTGGTCTCCCGAAACGCAAAATATCGCGTTTCCTAACTCCCAATAACATAATTCTCTAAGTACTCGTAAATCCCATCTTAAGTTTCATTTGGAAAGATTTCAGAGTATTGAAAAATAGTTTCATATCATGTTTCCAAACAAAGGAAGCTATAGAAAACTTCCTTGAGCCTATATTATTATGAGGGTACACTTTTAGAAACTAATTATTTACAATCTTAGAATGTATATTCACAGAGCACTGCAATATCAGCATAGTTCTATTTTCATATCTGTATCCAAAGTGTTGCCAATTACAAGTTACTAAATATTAAATGTTACTATTACAAATTATTAAATATTACATCTTCCGTTTTTTTTAAAGAGTTCAAAAGTTTTAACAGTCTAAAATCAGTCCAAATACCTGGCCCGCTTTCTAATCAGTCTCCACTTCTAGTTCTTAGCTCACCGTTCCTTGTTTCTGAGTTCAGAGTTTGGTAGTTGATCTTCTAAACTTTGCCCTTGAGAATATCTGGAATCATATCCTTTTACATCTGTTTTCTGTGTATTAACTCCTTGTTCTGTTCCTCTGATATTCTCTTCTAACAGCTGAACTGTTTTCTTTAGTGTCTCTAATATCTTTTCTATTTCTTCTCAATACTGATCCACCTGATCTTAAGTATATATGATCTAGGGCGTCTTATATGCATCTTCTTCTACAACTGCTGGTTTCTAGCGATTATATTGATATACCCTAACACAATCTCCTTTATTTAAGTGATGGTAATGTTTTTTGTATGACGGTCATAATATGACTTCTGTTTATTTCTTTCTTTTTTTATTTTTGTTTTACATTTTTCAGAACTTGAAGGTTTTAAGTAATTCTTCAGATGTAGGAAGAATTCGTTTTTGTCTACTTCATAAGTCGTTGAGTCTGGTTGAATTCCTAAGCATCTCATTAATTGGAGTGTTCCTATGAAGCTAACAATGCTAAAATAAGGATCAGCATGATCTGCTTGAGCTTTCTTTAACAGTTTCTTCGCCGTTTGTACTGAACGCTTTGCTAATCCGTTCGACTGTGGATGGTAGGGACTGATCGTTATATGTTTAAATTGGTATTTCTTTGCAAAGTTCCTGCAAATTCTTTACTTGCAAACTGAGGTCCATTATCAGATATCACTATCAAATGGTATACCGTATCTTGCATAAAGAGAGATTTCATGTAACTGATTACTGTCTGACTTCGAAGTATCCAGTAATTTGGAGATTTCAAAAAAAGTTGGAATAGTAATCTACAATTAATAAATATACATCTTGTTAATCTCAAATAAATCTGTCGCACTTTATTCCAAGGTAAATTGGGAATTTCATGTGGTTATCATAGGCTCTCTTATGTTTTTGTTCTGGTATTCATTACATATAGAACATTTTGAAATTTTATCTTCTATCTGCTTGTTGATAAGTGGCCAAAACAAAACATCTCTAGCTCTTTTCTTACATTTTTTCTATACCAAAATGACCCTCATGAATTAAATTTAACATTTTCTTTTGCATAGATAAAGGAATAATTACCCTTCCTCCTTTGAAAAATAAGTCATTTTCCATTGTCAACTCATCTCTGTAGTCCCAAAATACTTTGACTTGAGGTTCTACCTGATGTTTCCTTTCTGGCCAGCCTCTCAGAATATATTTCTTTAAGCACTGTAGTGTAGCATCACATTCACTTTCTTTCTTCAATGCATAAATTTTGTCATCAGATGCTGGAATCAGTGTACAAATTTCTGTATCTTCATCATTATCTTCTGTTGTATTCAAATTTGCTCTACTCAAAGTGTCTGCTATTAATAAGTCTTTCCCCTTTTTGTATCGTACATCTAGATCATATTTTTGTAAATTTAACAGCATTCTTTGCAATCGCTGTGGTGCTTTAAAAAGAGGTTTCTTAGTTATGCTTTCTAATGGTCGATGATCAGTTTCAACTGTAATACGTTTGCCATATATATATTGATGAAATTTAGAACATCCAAAAGTAATAGCTAAAAGCTCTTTTTCTATCTGAGCATAATTTTTCTGACTTTTTGTTAGAGCTCTGGAAGCATAAGCAATTGGTCGGTTTTCTTGTAGTAAAACAGCACCTAATCCTTCAGAACTTGCATCTACTGAAAGAGTTACTTCCTTATTAACATCATAAAATTTTAATACGGGTGCTTTTGCAATCAATTCTTTAAGTGTTTCGAAAGCTCTTTGATGCTCAGTCCAGTGCCAGAGAACATTTTTCTCAAGTAGTAATTGTCTTAATGGTGCAGTAATAGTAGTTAAGTTAGGAATAAATTTGACTAAATAATTAATCATTCCAAAAAATATTTGTAGCGAAGGCACATCTGTAGGTTCTGGCATTTTAACAATTGCTTCCACTTTACAAAAATCAGGTTTTAGTTCATTTTCACTTAACTCGTGCCCTATATAATTCACACGATTAACTTTTATTTTACATTTAGCCTTATTGAACTTCAAATTATTTTCTCGTGCTCTCTGGAGTACCTTTTTTAAGTCGTAGCTCATGTTCCTTTTCATTAGATCCCCATATTAAGATATCATGTATAATACATTCAACGCCTTCTAGACCTTCTATTATTTGGCTTAATTTTCTTTGGCAAATTTCTGGAGCTGAACATATGCCAAAAGGTAATCTTTTAAATTTGTATCTGCCAAAAGGTGTATTGAATGTACACAAATTACTACTTTCTTTCTTCGTCAAGCTGGATTTGCCAAAAAGCACTATTAGCATCTAAAACAGGAAAATATTTTTGCATTAGGCATTCTAGTGACAACTTCGTCAATGGTTAACATCGGATAATTTTCTCGTTTTATAGCTTTATTTAAATCTCTAGGATCTAAACATATTCTTATTTTGTTCGGTTTGACAACTGTGACCATTGAATTTTACCCATTCAGTTGGTTCTCTTACTTTCTCAATAAACATTTAAATTTTCCATTCTTTGTAATTCTTGCTTCACTTAACTTTATCACGTATAGCTATGGGTATTTTTCTTGGAGGATGAATGACTGGTGTTACATCTTGTTTTAACTGGATTTTATATTCTTCATTCAAACACCTAAGCCTTCAAATACATCTTTGTATTCCTCCAGTAAGTCTTCAGTGTAAACAGACATTACTTTCTGAATCAAAACCTAGTTGCAAACATGATTTTAATCCTAATATAGAAGGTACTTCATTGTCAATAACTTGGAATTCCACAACATAATTATTTTTTTTTTCCATATTGGCAGTTAAGTACTACTTTTCCTAAAGTATCCATTTTATTCTCAGAGAATGTAACTAATCTTTTAATTTCAGACTTCTGTATCGGAACATTTAGCAATTTCACTTTGCTTTAGAAATAACATTGCACATTGCTCCAGTATCTAACTGCAAATTTAGTTTACTTTTATTTACATTAACGTCAACAGTCCATTTCTCTTCCTTGTTATCTGAATTAAGGTTTAATGTGCCAACATAAAATTCTAACTCTTCCTCAGAGTCATGATTTATTAATTTAATTTGTCTATCTTTTTTTGTTTACCTTGACTGCTTCATTTTTTTATATATGCTTTTACACTGATTCGCGAAATGATTTGCCTTTTTACATTTATGACAGATTTTTCCATATGCTGGACACATTCGATACTCATGAGATGTTCCACATTTAGAACAAATTTTTGTCTTTTGTTTATATCAGTATTTACCTCTTTGTAGTATTCTTATTATGTTTACTTAGTTTCCTTTTCACTAAGTTTACAGCAGTTTCCTCATCTTTTATGATTTTCATTTGATGTGCACTTATTTTCAGCAGATCTGCATATATCAAGAGCTTTTTCTAATGTTATTCATTCTGTTCATGTAACAATCTTGCTCTCACTATATCATCTTTAATACCACAAATAATTTTATCCTTTATTAAACTATCCGTTAATTGTGCAAACTCGCATGTTCTAGCTTTATTTCGAAGGTCAGTTACGTATTCATCTATGGTTTCTGACGCGGTTTGATTTCTAGTAAAGAATACATGTCTTTCATATGTAATATTTTTCTTAGGAATACAATATTCCGTAAATTTTGTTTTAATTTCACTTAATTTAATTTCTTTACCTTCTTCTATAGGAAATGTATTATATATTTCAAGACCACGAATTCCTATTACATGAAGAAATGTATTAACTCTTACCTTCTCTTCTTTATTATGTAATCCACTAGCTACTTCATATATTTCAAATGATTGCAGCCATCTCTGCCAATTCGAAGCTAGATTTCCATCAAATTTCATCGGCTCTGGTGGTTTTAAACTTTCCATTTTGAAAGCAAAATTTTCCTAACACCATATATTATTATGAGGGTACACTTTTAGAAACTATTTATTTACAATCTTAGAATGTATATTCACAGAGCACTGCAATACCAGCATTGTTCTATTTTCATATCTGTATCCAAAGTGTTGCCAATTACAAGTTACTAAATATTAAATGTTACCATTTACAAATTATTAAATATTACAGAGCCTAAGGCTCCTATAGAGATTCGACAAAGCCCACTAGATCTACATAAGCCTCCTATATACCACGCTGAATCACCAACTTTTCCATCTTGGCGAGAAAGCGCTGCCAGTTTTGGGGCAGGCATTTATCGCAGATACTGGCTGAATGTCTACTGCTTTTTAAAGATTTATTATAGAGCTTGGGTTTCCGCGCATATAAACTTTTGGATAAATTATTAGTTCTCGAATAGTA